AGCAACAAAGAAATACAGGTACAGTTTGAATAGTGCGGCACCTCTGCCACTGATCAGTGAATTACAGGTGCYGTTTTCAACTTTGTTGAAGTTTCTTATGAACTAGTTTTCAGATTTCCTYATCTGTGCCTGAAAAGTTTCCTCTGACCTGCTTCTTATGAGAAAAATACTCTCAACATATTCTCCAAATGCAAATGCAAAGGCACAAAGGAAGAAAACCAAAGTTCTCTTCCTAGCTCTCTTCACACATATTCTTTTTTCACTGATTAAGTTAGTAGAGTTAAAGAAGAGTGCTGATGGATACAACCATCTAACTAAGAAGAGAATATGGATCATAGGATTCATTCAAATTCCATTTTTGCTTTTTACTGCAATAATCAATTAACAACTTAAATGAAAAACATGACATACAGTGTATTCTTTAGGTTATTTTTATACTACAGTATATAATATATATAATTATAAATAATAATAATATATAATCTAATGTTTTCCCACTTTTTCCTCTTCACTTGAAAGCAAAGATAGTTTACCCTTGAGCAAAAAAAGGTTAGATGCTGCATGACACTGGGAACACTTGTTTGAGATCTTAATTATAAAAAAGTTATATGACTATTATATGACTATTACAAAGTCTTTTTTTTTCTTGTTCAGTTTTATAAACGTGAATAAATAAATTCTATGTTTTTCCTTGCTGCAAGAAAGGAAGGATTATCCCACTGTTTAAGTACTAGATTAGATCTTAAATGTGGTGGCTGTGCCACTAATCTCCTGTGTAACCTTCAGCAAATCACTTAGACCATTTTTATTATTATTTTCTGTAGATAAAGCTAAAGAAAAAAAAACAAGCAAAACAAATAAATAAAGCAAATACAAACCAAAACAAGTAATAGAAAACAACAGAAAGATGTAAGATCTGGGAATCTGGGAGGAATTGCAGCCATCAGAGGAAGAAGCAGGAGTGCGGAGAATAAGATTCACTCTCTTGCAGCTGTCCAAATTTTTATCCTCGGATAAACATAAGCACCTAGTTCAAATCACAGGATGCCTCCAGAATCACAAGCGCATGGGGCAGCCCATGAAGAAACAAGCCTATTAGGTAAAATAAGCAGCAATTTCCAAAACAGAAATTCGTACAGCCTTGCACTGTTCTAAACAGTTTTCTTACATTTTTGTAGTCATTAAAATGTATAAAAATGCTGATTTCCACAACAGCATTACCAGGAATGATCACCCCTCCTGCTGCCTAGCAACTGCAATAATTTTGGAACAGTGAGCTACATAAACTGGGACCTGGAGTTTGGGCAAACGGGTATTCATCGGAGGGCTTAAAAGACATTSATCTTGGAAATAATGCAGCACTAATTTATAGTTGAAACGCTTTCAAAAAATAAAACGGCAGCAACAATTACTGTAGCTTAGGAGAACCTTTCCCCTACAGCAGATCTGCGCCCTGTCAAACTTGGAGTTCAGTTCTTTGCTGTCCTTTGGGGTGGCAAGTGCCCCTTTCCAGTTTTTATGAAGACATTTAACTTTCTTGAGGAGGAAATTATTCTCACCCAGTCTTCTGAGGGACTTGCTCCTAATTCAAGAGCAATGGAAACTGGTGACACTAAATGGCAATGCATTTAAATTAGATAAAGAGTGAATTCTGTGTTCAGATGATCCATACTAACCTGGAAGAACTCGCTAGGTCCTATCATGGCAGAATTATCTGCTTAGTAAGATTCATAAGAGGTCTGGACATCAACAGTTACAAAGGGATAAGCAAATGCTGTATTAGAGAAATATTACATGTACATATATGAAAGATAAGCCCTTAAGCATCAAGGTATAGTCATTCATTAGCTGCTTGTGGTTGCCCATTACAGGGATTCTTACCCACTCCTGAGAAATATACGGAATCCAGCTTGGCTGGGAGACAAGACCACCAAACAAATCAACCTGGTTTTGTTTAATATGAGAATTTCTACCTTATTTTCTTACATGTATAATAGGCAAGTTCATCCCAAAGCTCATATAAATCTGTGCTGCTGCTCTGAAACTTCCCTTCTCTCACAGGGGAAAAAGATTCCAGTTTTTGGCTTCAGATGCTCTGTAGCCTTATGGATAACAACYGAAAAGAAATGCAAAATTCCTGGATGCCTCCACGTGTTTTTCATAGCAAGTCCAGATAGAGACACATTCACCCCTGGCATAAACACTCAGCCCACTGAAGGCAATGCAGTAGCATCTGCTTATACTAGCTATGAATCCAAACCAGTCTTGCCTACACCTAATTCCCTACACCTACTACTGGCAGATAGGAGCCTGGATGCAGCAATGGAATTGGACCACTTATGGCATTTGAGTTTAGAGAATTAAATTCTGCAGCAAGAGAAAAATGTGGTGTCTACATCGTTCTAAGATCCTGGGAGATGCGGGTTCAAAGGCAGCCATACAGGGCTGACTGACAGGCTGCCACAAAACACCTCATGGCTGTTTAACAGCTCAGGGAAAAATGCTCCGTTTTGACTGCTGCTCTGTGGAAATTTCCTGACACCCCAAACACACCACACAGCACTGTGGCATGAGGAAACACTCATGGTGTTAACCTTTAGGGCCTCTCAAAAACGGCAGCTAACAAAGTTTGACTTCACCCTTCCCGATGAAAGAGACCGTCCCTCAAAGGCAGGGGAATGACCTCAGCTAGCCGGTCTCGGAGGTGCTCTAAATGAGAGGCGCTGCTGGCATCCATTCCTCGGCAGCTCCCGGGGCAAAGGGGAGACCACGGGACACGCTGCTTGCTCCACACACGTCCTGCTCCACACGTGGCCTGCTCCTCACGCTGCCTTCTCCACACGCAGCCTGATCCACATGCTGCCTGCTCCACATGCTGCCTGCTCCATGCACGTCCTGCTCCACACACTGCCTGCTCCACGTGCTTCCTGCTCCATGCACATCCTGCTCCACACACTGCCTGCTCCATGCGCGTCCTGCTCCATGGGCAGCCTGCTCCACGTGTGTCCTGCTCCAGATGCCTCTGTGCCCATGGGCAGCGCGCGCGCTGCACGGCTCCTGCTGCGCCAATCCTGGGGTGCCTGCCTGCACGGCCCGTTTCCACTGCCCAGGAGCAGATCACTGAGGGGAAAAGCAAGTCTTCCACCAGAAGAAGAGACAACCCACTCCTAAATTTGTCAGCGTGTTTTTCAAATTAGATCTTAAAAGTCCACCTTGTAAAAAGAGACATGGAGCCTGTTCCACAGATGACAAACCGTGCCCGTACACTACGCTCGCCTAACAGGAGCACATTCGGGAGGAGACGCTGACCTAAGGAGACCTCTTCCCTCCTCTCCGCAGGACAGCCGGGGCCTGGGGCCGCGCTGCCGAGCCCGCCAGAGGGGACGGTGCTGCAGCAGGCGGCACACACGGAGCGGAGCGGGACGCGCTTCTCCCACCTTGGCACTGCCAGGAAAGACACCTGCGGTGTTTGGTAGCCGTTCGTTGCACCTACAGTTCTAGCCGAGGGAGCATCGCCAACATCTTCTCCCTATTCCTTGGGTCTGCCTTCCCTTTAATCCTTAAAAACTGATAAGAAGGAAGACATGTTTTTGATCAAGGTAGTTTAAGCTTCATTTTGCCAAGTGTAGAGTTCAAGCTATCACCACGCTGCAAACAGGAAAATGATGCACAAAGTAATTCATGAATGTTTCTCTGTGCTTTTGTTCAACCCCTTAGAATATAACTGAATTTCAGAAATTCAAACATTTTTGAAGAGCACATTTTAAACCTAGATTGCCACTTTCAAAAAAAAAAAAAAAAAAGGTATATCAGGTTTTCAAACCAATTTGCCACTATGAATTGAATATATTCAATGATAGAAAAACCTTTTAACCAAATTCAATCCATATTTGATTTCCAAAACTAAGACAAAACCAAGTAAATAAAAGTTATCAATACCCTACAGTTTTGAGTGAACATGTGAAAATAAGAACCTGCTTGCATCCTTTAAAAAGGGAAAACAGGTGAAATTTATTGAATAAAACATGTGCWGTGAATGACTTTCTTGGGTTAATTTTTCATGTCATCCCGTTGCTCCCGCGGCCAGACTTCATGAACGTGTCCTTCACAAATGGTGACACTCATTAGGATTCTGATTACAGGAGGCTCCTGAAGGCCATTGCCTGTGACGCCAGCCGCTACTCCCTACACGTTAGCCTAGAGAAAAGCCATCCTGCTCACAAAATCARGCTCCTCTTGAAAAGGAAGGCTGCAGGACTGTCTGGGGTGGGTAATGAATTCACACTGCTCTCAGACAGGTACACATGACAAATTGGCTGAGACAACAATGAAGAGAAATGTGGACAAAAAGTTCCCACTCTGTGAACATTTCCTCTAATTTCACAGAAACTACCTGCAGGAGCAAAGGCCACCTGTCTGGTGTGACAAATGAGGCCTAGTTCTTTTTGCAAGTGAAAAGTTGATACTCGGATTCAAACCAGACAAAGAATAAAAATTACAGTAACCTTGGATCATAGGAGTAATCTTGTAACAAAGATGTAYATTGATTTTGACAGATATTTTCAAGAAACATAATAAACAGCAAAATAATGTTCTTCTACAGTGTTTTATTATGGGGGCAACTTTTGTCACAGTGTAATAACTACACAACTGGATCCCACGTGAGGTATTAAAAAATCTTTCAGCAACCCTAGAAAGCAAAATCCCAACACACTTAATTTCCATCCTTAGGGCCTGTAAGATAATAGGAGTCTATTTTGGCAGGCTTCCTCCTTTGAAACCTGAATGTTAAACATAGCGTTGCTAGCAAACTCAAGGCTAGCGCATACAACAAGGAGCCTTAGACAAGTTTTGCTATTTCCCCCAAAAGCACTGAACTGACCTTAGTATTTCAAGACTGCCTTGATTACCACAAGACTGCCTTGATTACCACAAGACGGCCTCAAGCCCGAGGAAGCGCAGGGATCCTCTCACCAGGTGCACTGCAGAGGCTCACTTACTTGTAGGGGATGTGCTTGCTGCCGTTGACGAGGGCGAGGATGACGTTGCCCAGCGCTGACAAGGAGAGGCACAGGCCCGAGCTGCCCTCCCGGTTTTTGCTGAGCACTTTCACACAGCTCCCCAGGTCAATCAGGTGCAAGCGGCTGCGGCCTCCGGACACTGCCATGAGCGAAGGAAGCCAAGAGTTAGTGTGTGCCTCTTCTCGCCTGCTCCACAAGCACCTTCCCAGGAAAGCAAAAGACTGGGTGCTACTTTCCAAGAGAAGGTTCCCTCCCCAACAATATTGCCAATAACAAGCTGCTGGGGACCTGCTAACTSTCCTTCAGCCTCTACTGCTGCATGCTGCTGTTTGCTACTGACTTGCTTAAAAAATTGCCCAGGCTTTCAGTGATCACAACTCCTGCCGTTTTCACTCTGTGGGAGTCACCAGTGTGCCTTCTTTTTTAAATATTGCTCTAATAGCCTAAATGAGCTGGTGATATGTTACTGCCTGGGATTGCTGGGCTGTCCAGAAATGTATAGGCTCTTCTTCCCACCTCAAAGACTGGACGTCCAGAGAAACTGTAGCATTCTGTGTGATACCTACTTCTGTTTTAAGATGATATACTTTTATATTACCACCTGCTTTAACAAAAGGTTTGCTATGCTTACGTCATCTCTGCCCCCACTAGATTTTCATTGTTTCTAGAGGAGAATTTAGGAAGACTATTGAAACCCTTCTAGAACATCACAGGTGACCACTGGTTATCAACTGATAAACTCCTACTGTGTGATGCAGAGCTGAGACACATGAAGAACATCTTTTCAAGGAACTGTTACAACATTTCATATGATTCACTAAAACTACCAGGACTTATTCCTAAATCTTCAAAGTTCAAGTTGGAGACTACAATTTAGTTCTTCCTTTTTATTCTTCTGGACTGTGCAAGAATACTATGATGCAAGAATACTATGATGCAAGAATTCTATGATGGGATGACAGGCTGGCTGGACGAGGGGAGAGCCGTGGATGTTGTCTACCTTGACTACCTTGACTACCTTGTCTACCTTGACTTCAGCAAGGCTTTTGACACTGACACTGAAGCTCCGGGACAGTGGACTAGACGAGTGCACGGTGCGGTGGATCGAGGGCTGGCTGGATGGCAGAGCTCAGAGGGTGGTCATAAATGGGGCCGAGTCCAGTTGGAGGCCTGTGGCCAGTGGTGTCCCCCAGGGGTCAGTGCTGGGCCCAGTGCTGTTCAACTTGTTTATCAATGACCTGGACGAGGGCACGGAATGCACCCTGAGCA